TGTTTACTCCCGCCAGCTCTCCGTCTACCCCCTGCAATAATCCCCCGAAATTTATGTTTTCAGCGACAGAGCCTACAGACAAACATTTTGAGCGTTTAATCGAGTTGCTGCTGCTGCCGCTGGATAAGCTGCGAACGCATCGCATTTTTTAAATGCTTGTTTTCGAATATCCGCTCGGGAGTTTTTGCTGGCCGACTGGTGAAGCATGATTTTGTCGACTCGTTCAGTGTGCGTTCGTATTACTGGCTTCTCCGGGTCTAAACCAAAGAAATGCCCTACTTGGTCGGCAATTGAAAAAGTGAGACATGCATCAAGTAGGCGATGAGTACAAACTATGGATATATAATTCAGGAATGAGACGCTGAAGGAACTACATCAAGCATCTGGTAGCACTTTTGTAATGTCACCAAACACACTGCCTCAGTCATCTTGGCCATATACCTTGACTGCTGATTTCGGTGTATGTATAAACTTATCACATGCAACCTCTCCGTGTGTTTATATATACAACTTGCTATACTTATGTATATATATATACATATGCTATATATACATATATATACATATATATATGTATATGTATATACATGTATACATATGTATATATATGTATATATATATGTATACATGTATATATATATATATATGTATACATGTATATACATATACATATCCGCACACGAAGGAATTGCATGTGGCATGCTATATTTGGCGCATTAAAACAATATTGTTAGTGATGCTCCGCAGTGGTCCGATGATTGCTGATCGTTGATCGGCTGGCTGGCTAGATCGTGCATGCACAAATGCTGCGAAGATGCATCGTTTTGGACTACGGATGCTTATCAGTATCAGAATAGTCTGTCTGCTCGTCTGTTCTTCGGTATGCGTGGATGCCCCGTGGCTTCGCTTCTCGTCAGTGCCCCCCTCCACTTTCGCCATTCCTCCGACACTCTACCTGCGCCATCAGTCGTTGACTCTAACTATGCTGCTGATCGTTCTGCATGCATCCAATTTCACACGGTTCTGGAGCCACACTATCTCTGCTTGTTTCCAGCTTGTACGGTTGCTTGGCCATGTGATCGCCCAGCCGCATGTTCAGTTTGCTTCAGAGTCGAACGCAAATTGTTGTTGCAGCGTAAAGCGTGATGGCTGGTGAACTGAATGCAGACTGTTGCTGCACTGTCGTCTGGGAACTGATTTTCTGCGTTTTTTTGTCGGACGGAAGGGAAGGAGGAGTATACGTTAGCAGAGTGAAGATCGCATTTAAGGACGGAATCTTAGAAGTAGCAACCTGAGTCAGATGCCAGTGCTCGCTCCTTAATTGCATTTACTAAATTACTGTTTTAGCAAAAGAAGAACAGCACCCACGCGGACTGCTGATGTTGAACTCCTTGATCCTACTGATAAGCAACCACCCACCGAACTCAATAATGTGGTTTCCTTTGTGCTTGACGGTGCGAGATCCCATTAGTACCTTTAAAAGCCAGCTAGCAGATGTTTTTCCTTTCATTTTCAAGACGCATCGGAGCTCTTGGGCAGTTTTAGAATGAGTGTGATCAGCATTTTTCGCATTTTTAGGAATTATTTTTCGTTATGTATCGCAAAATCATTCCAATTCTTATTCTCATTTTAAAAATTTCTTGCTCGGAGTGAACTAAATGTTATCGGTTTCATTCAAGCGTTTTCCTTCGTAGCTGATATTTTTGCGCCTCTGCATAAACAGCTCATGCTAATTGAATCGCGTAGTGATGCCAATGTCTGCTTCCGCATGCTTGTGTTTGTATGAATATCAGTCCACATAATAATTCTATTCCAGAAGTACTAAGGTCGAGAGTGTTAAAATCTCAGAAACAAAACAAAAAACACCAACTTGAGTTCAACTCGGAACTGTCTCTCTGCTCTGCCGTGTGATATCTGGTTCAAAGCGGGGTTAATTTTAAAATTTGCAAGCTAAGAGGGTTATAAGCCGGTTTTTTTGGAAGAATGCTTCACCCAGAATATGCCTCATCTTCATGTCCTGATATATAGGACATGAAGAAACTGGTTTTGCAAGTTGACAGCATGCCATTTCAGTTCCAGCATCTGGCACGATTTTTCAAATCTTTACTTCCAGTAGGCTAGATATTAACATTTGACAGTGCCATAAAAAAAGGAACACTTCTGGGTTTTGCTGCTTCGCTCTTTGTTTTGCAGCATTTTGTTGTTAGAAGCTAATAATCACTTCAGACCCCATTTCCCGCGCTCGCCCCTATTCTCGCCTTTCTGGTATACTTCTATTAATTTTAAATTCAAAATAAACTAATCTAGAAATTCAAATTTTTCCGCACTCAGTTGATTGTATGGAGCGAGTGAAATACTCCGAAGCTATCCTTTCGGTCCCCGAAGATTTTTCGAATTCTCTGATTACGCATCTAGCAACAGCTGATTTTGAAACTGCAGAACAAAACAAGCTTGTGAATTCGTAATTTTGCTGCTTTGTGTGCCCTGAATCGACTGAAAGCAAATTTTGACAGTTTTGTTACAGTGGCTCGTTCATTTGATAACATACGTACCAGCTTACCATGAAACGAATAACTGTGGTTCAAAATCAGAGAGAAAATTCAGAAAGGGACATAAGAGGCATACTCAAGCCATTGCAAGAAAACGGATTTAGCATCGTGTAGGTACACTGTACGAGTTTCGCCAGCGTTTTTGCTATCAGATAAATTCTCTTTGGCATCGCTTTGTCAGAAACTCGTTGTATTCGTTGCAAACTAATCTCACACATTCAGTTCCAACACTAAGGGGAAACAACCCTTTGGATACTGCCACAGTGAATCCAAACTCTTGCATACTCAACAATGCGTAATAAATGAGCGTCGATGATTTCGGGGTCATTCCTAACACAACGCCAGAATAAGCCTCAGGAGAATGGAGCATTTTTCTTGAAAAACGCATATTAAGAATTCATATTTATTCACGTGTAAGCGTTAATTATGTAACTCTTCAAGTTTTTAAGTACTCCTGTTAGGGTTGGAAATTTTTCTGCCTGTAAATGAGCCAGTAAACTGGCTTTAGCTATGCAGTTAGTGTATGATTTTACAGCTGACTGTATGAGATGACTTTCGTCAATCATTCAGAATATCACGTGCAATATTTAATGTCGGGCAGTGATAACTCGATCTTCCTGTGAGCAGTCGCTTATCAGAATAGCTGTGTCTGCATTCCTTTTATTAACTTTCCTTTCTTAATAGTTTGATAGGAATTTATTTTCATGCATATTCATGTGAAGAAGCAAAAAAGCTGCCTTCTCACCAACGTATTATTTCGAATGCTCCAAGCTAAAATACTTAATTTCCATTTTCAACATATTATGCGCACCAGTTGCAAACTTGTTCTCTTTTCTCCTTTTATTTTCCTTTATCTCTTGCAATTTTCATGCGGTCCTTGAAAAAACCGCTGCTATTAAACTTCAGAACGGTTGTTTGGCCTGCTGCCGAAAAGCTATAAAATGAGTGAAGTGGCACATCATAAGGGTTGTCCAGAATTCGGACTTTAACTCTGGCTTTTCCGCGTGATTTCGCTTTTTCCAACCGGTCGTTTTTTGATATGCAATACAAGGTATATGATCACGCTGGACGGGCTTGCCAAAATTTTCGTTGAATTTTTCGCATTGCACTTATCCCTGGGGGAAGAGGAGTTAGAAAGGGGTATGCCTGGCAAGAAGTAGTAGCAGCAGTGATCTGATACTTTCCCGCACAGAAATATTTCAGTGTTCTGCCGTAAGATCACCTCAGTGTGATGTGCTAATGGTGTCAGTCTGAGCAATGTAACAGCGTGGCGCTTTTTACAACCTGATCGGTCAGATGCTGCACAACGGCATTTTATTTGACTTGTACCGGGTGATACAGAAGTCATTGGTGGCTGATGTTGTGCAAAAAAGGATCGTTGTGCTAACTGAGTCACTTTACGGATATAGCGTGAAAATCGGACGTGAATAGGGGCTGCAAGCCTAGATAGGGACCGCAGTACCTTCTGTTTCCCCAACTGATCGAGTGCAAAACGCGGATGGCGAGGGACTGCGAGCGACTCGCACTGGTTTGAGTTGCGTTTACGGGAAGTTAAGCCTCACGTTGGTGACTGTTGAGGAATGAAAATAAATCAGCCAGCCTCTTTTGAGTCGGTTGGGGCAGGAAATGGAAGACGGCTAGTTAGCTGCTGGGCATGTATTTGCTGCACTGGGCATGTGTTTGATCTGAATAATATTTGAACGCTTTACACGCACTCAGATCTCGCATTCGGAATTTATCAGATTAGAGATGCTATTCCACAGGCACCACATTGTGCTGTAATCTGCGCTTTACTTGTGCGTTAAAAAATGCCATTTCTTCCGCCTCTCCCATTCATTCTCATTTAATCATTTTTTTTTTAAAAAAGAACAAATTCCTGCGTTTATTCTTTCGTTTGCTTTCTCTCCTCTGTCATTGTTTACGCCGAGGCATTGCTTCAGCAAATGCTTTTTAGCTTAGTGTTTGAGGGGCTACGGTCGTCGGACCGTGCAAGGACTGGGTGGTAGTGCACGAGGATGAGGGATCGCTTTCTTTTTTTGTCGCGATACTGGGCCCAGTCTGGTTACTACAATAAAAAATCGGTAGTGTTTGTTTTTGACGTACTGTTTTGTATTGCTCTGCTACGTTTTCTTCCGCATGCTCCACACTGCAAGCATCCGTGTTTTATTCATTTTACCTCCGGATGAAATGATTTTCAAATTGCTTCTATTGCCGGTATGCTTGCATCACGAAAAATACAAATAGTGGTGTGTCTTGCTCAAAAATACTTTTTTTGCACGGCAGGGTCCATAACGTCCAGACTTGCGTACGTATACAAATTTGAAATCCCAGGCAAATTGGAACCAAAACTGCACTTCAAACATACGCACGTGTGTATGTATATGTATAAATATATATATATATAATATATATAATATATATACATATATATACACACATATATACACACATTTATATATGTACACATATATAGTAAGTATATACCTGAATATCGAACAGCTGTGTATCATTGATGTTCGTTGTGGTGCCATAGATGCAGCTAACAACTTCTCTATTGGCCTCGTTCTTGCGTTTACCGAGACCACGTAACGCCCGTGCTGCTGGGCTCTCTATCTCGCTGGGGGCGTCCCCAGTGTTCATTTGATCGTGCATGGGCACTATTCCGTTATCCGCTTCGTTCATCTGTTGTTTGCCATCCTTGCCACGTGACCAGCCCATCTCTTTTTGCTGGCGTACACTGCTTCGATGACATCATTCACGCCAGATCTGACTGGAAGCACTTCGTTAAGAATGTGCTGCAGCCTGTTGACGCCAACCATCCGTCGTTCCATCGCTCGTTGACTGCTGATTTCCGTCCTTCAGCAAACGCGGTATTCCACGTCTCACATCCGTATAAAATAGTTGGTAATACAGTCGAATTGAAATTGCTGCTTTTGCGGGTAAAGTAGTCTTTTTGTCGTAGAATATATCGCGGAGCTTGGCGTGAGTTATCCATCCTGCTCTTATCGTTCTCGTTATTTCGATGCCCAGGTCGTTGTTCATCTGCGCTGCTTGTCCCAAGTAGATATAGCTGCCCACATGTTCGATAGAGTTTTCCAGTTTCACGTCGAACGCAAGACAGTAGGCGTTCTTTAGCCACTTGGCTTTGTTGATATTAATTGTGAGTCCGATTTTCTTTTCCTTCGCTACGGGATCATTTAGCAGATTTTGCAACTATTGAGGTCTTTTTGAGACAAAGACTATGTCGTCCGCAGAGAGTAGCATTTGCAATTTTTGCCATCGATACTAATTTCGTCTATTGCATCCATACTTCTGAGAACGCCTTCTAGCGAGCTGGAGCTTTTGGGGAGTAGATTTCGCCTTATTTCACACCTCTTTTTACTTTTATTAATATAGGATCATCGAAGAGGGTGAGTTCCTTATGCGAACATATTGTGGGGTCTTTGATAACAGAAAGGTATGCTGGATTGAATCCTTGCCTCATGAGAGCATTAAGCACAGCGAAGGTTTTTCTGTAGACAGTAAAAAGCAGACATAATGGAAGTGTGTATTCGCTGCATCACTCTGTCAGTTGTTAGAGCGAAGGCGTGACCATTTGTGGAGAACTGTTTCCTGAATCCTGCTTGCTCTCCTCGAATTTTCATCAAGAATTTTTTTGATTTGAAAGTATATTACCCGCATAAGGATCTTGTACATGTAGACAAAAAGCATACTAGACGGTAATTGGCAATTTTTTCCAGGTCTCCTTTCTTCGGCAGCAATATGGTTTCTGATCTCTTCCACTTTACCTGTATTATACCCGTGAATCTTGAATCTTCCACCCGCCGCCCTAATTCACTTCATGGAGCAGATCGCAGCTTCGACCTCACTGGGAGTGATAACGGGACAGAGGAGGTTCTTGAAATATTGGGACTCTGGATATTGAAGGCCGATGCAAATAGGTCTTTATAAGAATTTTTACAAATGGTTTCCGTGCGCCTCTGATTTTTTGTTCTCTGTCAGCCGTTGTCCAAAAACGCCACTGGGATGTTTTGACATAGCTACACTACCCTCCACCCTCTTTTTAAGCTCATTCTCTGCTGTACAATTTGTCTTATTTTCTCCTTTCGGTAATTGTAATCTCCTGTCATTTGTCTTCCTAACACTTTGCACAGAAGTTTATACTTCAGACCGACACCGCCTTTCGACGCCATTTTTCATCTCTTTCGAAGAAGATCAAGCGTTTCATGACTTAGACGGTTTCTGATGCATTTGACGACATTTATCTCAGCAGCAGCTTTACATTCACTGTGCTTACCGAGGAGGTTGTAGTCTGCAGTTATGTTGTTCTCAGCGATTTCCCAGCTTTCACGTTTAAAAACTTAAGAATTGATCCTCTGTAAACTGCTTCAGCTTTTTGCTGTAGATATTTTCATTCTGAATCCTTCTTTCCTTGTTGGAATCGATCCTGATGTCGGCTGTTATGGGGGCGGTGGCCAGAGTGGACAAAAACTGCTAATTCCGGTATGACGGACACATCTGTATCCACTCACCGTTTGTCAGGTGCACGCCATGTCCAACGTCTGTCCGAAGTTATTGGAAGAGGGAATTTATTACGTAGAGTTTAGAACTTTCTGTAAAGTTAGCAAGTCTCTGGCCTCTGTCATTTCTTTTTTCTAGACCGAAGCATCCGATGTGTACTTCTGAACCTTCTCCTCTGCCGAGTCTGGCGTTGAAATTTCCATTGACAACTGTAGTCTCGGAGAAACGTTCAACGTCGTCTTCCGCTACTGAAGTGGGCGCATAGATCGCGATGAGTTTCATCGTGGCTTTTTCATTAATTCGTATAAGCACTCCAGTGCTTTTTGCCGTTGGCCTCACAGTGAATCCAACACCATCCACTCCTCTATCAGCTACTCCCAGCATGATCCGAGTGCTGTCACCAAATTTCTCGGTTGACGCAACCCTCGCCTGTTTTTATTGACAGCATAGATGTCGATCAGGATGTTGCGAAGTTTGCGCAGCAGCAGGTCGGCAGTTTCGTCGCTGCTTAGCGTTTAATGTGGTCACGCGCACAAAAATACCGGGTGATGGTCTCAGTATTGCATGATTCTTAGCGCTCTCTGCTCCCTTGTCAGCTTCTGGGTATATACATCTGTACATGTAAAGTGAGCGGAAGCTTGTCGGTACACATTGCAAAACTGCAAAATTTAAAGAATTACTAGACAAAAAGTCCACATTCAACTAGATGGTGAAAATAAACCACTAGAAGCGGAATAGAACACCGATTTTGTTAAGGTTATTTCTGTAGGAATTTAGCGATAGAAGCAGATAACTGTATAGTTCGGTAACCGACCTTCAGGAAGTGAAGTACACCGAAATTTGACGTTCCTCGACTAATGCTAGCCAGGAGTCTACCTTTTTTTGGTTGACTTTCGCACTTTTGCGAGTTGAATCCATCAGGCCAGCATTTTTATCACTTTTTACGCATTCCGAAAGCTTTCAGCTGATTTCTGAGGCCTTCTGTCCTAATTTTATGGCCCTTTCTTAAGATTCAAATGAATTTAGTATTCTTCGATTGTAACACAGCTATTTAAACACAGAGCTGTTGATGAGATTTAAAAAACCGCCTTAGAAGCAATTCAAAGACAGTTGGAGTTCTTACAGCGATTATGCGCGACAAGACTAGTTTGCTGTTACAGTGATTCAGCAAATAGTTGACGGGCTGGTTTCTCCACCGAGAGTTCTACTGAGGTACAGCTTGCCTGAGCAGTCTACTCAAGGGCCACCAGTAATAGTCTGCTTAAGTAATGTATATGCATTTCAGGCCAAAGTGTACTTTCCATCGGGTACTGCAGAACCGCTCCAACTATCATGCGTTTGTAAAAAATTTTTTATATTGCTGCCGCCGCTACTAATATAGCTGCAAATTACTATCTTCATCACTGGCGTCACTATCACTGCCATTATCAGTGATAGTGTCTTGCGGGAGGATGACGGTTGTCAACGATAACTCTGCAAACAGGCAGAATTGGACTGTCGATGGGCAGATAAATGAAGAACGGTTATTAGCAAACACTGAGCAAGTTGCTGCTATTGCTGAAGCCGAACTTCTACCGGAAAAATGCACCATAGGTTTGTGTTAAAAGTTAATTCTCGTATGGATGCTTTCAAAGGTCACATTTGCCATGCTTTTTCCAGGAGTATCTAAAAATTTGTGTTTGCTTCTACAAAGGCATAGCTTTATCGTGAAATTTTCGTTCGCAGTCGGAAATCTTAGTTGCACCTTGTAGTTTTTATGCGTTTTTTGCAGCTATGCAATGCAAAAACGCATATTGTCGAGGGGTTGTATGTGTGTGTGTCTCTGTCTGTGTGTATGTGTGTCTATGTGTATGTGTGTCTGTGTGTATATGTGTCTGTGTGTGCGTCTGTAACGAGTTTTCATTTCGAGATCCACAAAGCCTACAAGG